GGCAACAACAATACTACAGCGAGGATAAAAGTTACGCCTTCTTTCTTTGGGTGGACATTTGGGCGGCTTTATGCAAATCTTCCCAGATCGTGACGTAGGTATGTGGGGGCGTGTTAGAACGAGCCGTTTTAGGTAGGCGTGGCTGACTCTTAACTTTTATAAAGAATATCTCTTTGGATTTGAGACTTTAGTCTTTGCAACTTTACAGATCTTCTTTATGCACCAAGAGCTTGTAACACTCCAAAGAGAAAGGAAAAATTGAAAATGCATCATATGACCCCTTTAATTGATCTTAAAATGGGAAAAAAAGTGCATTTTTGTCCCACTAAAGAAATCCTCTCACCCTGGCAAAGTCGAAGGCGTATCTGTAAATGCTCTTGAATATAACCGGGTCATTCAGCTGAGAGCGCATATAATCCAGTTTGCCTTGTAATCTCTCTGTGCAGTCGCAACTGTAGACAGACCAGAGGAGTTCAATTGCCAATATAATAAAGTCTTCTGCTGGAATTATTTCTCATGATATTCAAGGCATGTGACGTGAAGGTCAATCTTACTGTAGTGACGTCATTCCTTTCAGCCACTCTTCTTTTGTGAAAAATCCCATATTTGTTGCTTCAAGTTTCCAGGCTAAAACTAACATTACAATCTGAAAGGTCACAAAAACACAGTGCGCATTATTTCAAGTGATTTCTCGTATTTTGGACAGAAGAGCATTCCTAAAACCTAACTTTAGGATTTACTATGAAATATATGGAGGGGTTTTGCTAACATTTTCAGGCTCTACTCCGATGTCCTCGCAGAACTTCTCCATGCTCTCCGGTCCGACAATGTCATCTGAACCTAAACGAGATTTAAAACCACGACAATAATCATATCAGCTCAAATTTGCTCAATAAGGAATAGCTCACCTAAAAATGAAAATTTGCTGAAAATGTGCTCACGCTCAGACCATCCAAGATGTAGATGAGTTTGTTTCTTGATCAGATTTGGAGAAATGTAGCATTAATGATGGCTTTGTTTCTTACTTCTTCACAAGATGTTAACTGATGGACTGGAGTGCTGTGGATTATTGTGATGTTTTTATC